GCCGCTCTCGTGTTATCAGTGTGGTCAGCCGGGGCATATGAAGATGTATTGCCCGCAGTTGGGTGGCACATCTGGTGCATCTGGTTTGAGGCCGATTCAGGGTCAGCAGCCAGCTCAGTCGGGTCAGGCCTCGAGGGCCAATCAGGGGGCTTCATCGTCCCAGTCGATATTGGAAGTAATGTGAATATGATATATCGGTTCACTGTTATAGTTTGGCCAGGTTCTGAGCCATGTTGATAATAATGGAAAGTGAAATGTGTCTTAGACATTAGTGTCATGAGACTGTATAATGATACAATTGATTATCTTGGTTAACCATCTATTGAATGCTATAGCTTTATTCAATGCTTATATTTGGTTTAGTATTTTTCTACTGGGCTGTGGCTCACCCTTTATGGGAACATCATTTTCAGGTTCAGGTGATAAGCTACCTCCAAGGACATAGCTTGGAAGGACTTGGATTTTGAAGATTATTTTCAGTTATTTGCTTTCATTTATTAGTACATGTAAACACACAAGCCTAGGGCTTTATTTGTATTTGAGTTAGAACTCATATTTTTGTGTCCAAGTGTTGGCTTGGAAAGATATAAGCCCGTAGGGCATTTAATTTGATGTTACATGTAATGTTTTTATTTGGAAATACTCTGATGAGTGAGATATTGAATTGTTTACTTTAAATATTGCATGTCAGTGACAAATATATAATGAGTCTATTTTGAGGGCGTTACAACTTGGTATCAGAGTGTACCGGGTTTGAATACTTTGGGTACGTGGGAAGTGATTAGTATCACAATGGGTTCGTCTCGTTTGATAGAGACTTAGTGAAATGTTATATGCTTATATGATAACATGTTTATGTGATTATGTGGGTATGGAACGTAGTTTCTAGGATGTTAATTGGACCCTTGAGTTTCTAGTAGTCTTGTTGGAAAGGCACTTGATCAATGCTGCTTCCAACCGGAACTATAATGACGCTTCGGGACTAGTATCATCCAGGAATGAAATTCGTAGGTGCTTATGTGATTATGTGCTTATGTGGAATGAATTATTGTTATTCAATGCATTAGGACGCAAGTGTTTAGCTTCGGCACATTTATTAATGTGCTAACGTCTTTGTTTTCTTTATTAAGATGTCAGGATGAGGACGAGGGCGCGGTAGGCGTGGTAGGCCGGGTAGGCAGGAGGTGCCTGTGCCAGAGGAGGTTCCGGCAGTACAGGAGGGAGTTGGCCAGGCCAATGTGGCCAAGCCATTAGGCCAGCAGGCTATGGGCGCTTTAGCCCGAGAGATAGCAGGGGCATTCAGGGAGTCAGTAGGCATTCTCAGAGCTGAGAATCAAGCGCGGGTGGTTGTTGCGGATGCAGGACCTTCCTTTCTGAAGAGGGAGTTCTTCCGGTCTAATCCGGATGAATTTGTGGGTGATCCTAAAGAGCCGCTTAAGGCAGATGAATGGCTCGAACAGACAACGAAGATGTTTGAGATGCTTGGCATCGAAGACGAGGGTTTGAAAGTGACCTTGGCATCTTTCCAGCTAAAGGGGGATGCGGGTCAGTGGTGGAAGTTCACTAAAGGTCGTAGGAGCATTACGTTTGGAAAACATACACCAAAGAATTTTTTTTTAGTGTTGCGTTGTTACGTTTAGGAAAAATATACCAATAAGTTTTTTATGTGTTACATTGAAGTGTTACGTTATTATAGTGCTACATTAAAGTATTAGGTTTTTGTTCATAATGTGAGATTTGTTCTAGAATGAGGAAAAATCCAAAACTTCTACCTAAATGTGTAATTTTACATTTTGAGAAAATCACTTTTATTCCTAAAAAATTAAACCCAAACATGTAAGTGACTATTCTTTTTTGCTTGGAAGAGAGACAAGATCCCTAATCCTTGTTCCCTTTTGGAAAGATTTAAAAAGAGATGGATGATTATTTATGTTAGGGCTCTTTTCTGCTTGTGATTCCCTACAATTGCATGGTTCCCATTGATTAGTCTGGGTATTACTAGGCAACTAGTTTTCAATTTTCCGTTCATCAAAATTTTAGTATAAGGCCTAAAATCCTTGTATGGAGCAATCTCCGTTGTGTTTTTAATTCTTTTTCTCCTATTTATAAGTAAAACTAAATGGGCAAAAAAATAGTATAAAATTAAGAAGGCAGAGGAGTCAAAACATAAGATAGGGTTGGGGAATCTTCCCATTTTTTGAAAAGTAAAGATAAATATTAAATCAAAAATTAGAAAGGAATGTCAATGTGAAATATATTTCAGTGAGAGTCATGTGCAAATTGCATGGGTTGCTCTACTATTGTCTTTTATCTTTTACTAGTGAAAACTGCAATTTAGGCTGAATTTTTCAAGTCCTAGTTCAATTTGGCTTTGGATTC